AATTATCAAGAACAGCTACTACTGCTCCAATAATTTTGATACATGAACCCAGTCGTAGGCCCTAGACAATGGCCATAATACCCTAAACTAAACTACCCCTATGCCCTATTCCCATTACATCAAAATGAATTTGCATGCAATATCCATGCATCCAAGTTCACAGGTTGCAAGTCCCCATTCATGCAACCAAATTCCTAAGCATAGGAAATCGAACTGATTAACTCTTTGACTCATGAGAACTCAAAACAACAATACTCTACTTTGACTTGTTAACAACATGGGGAATCTACAGCACTCTATTCTACCCTTAGACTTTAAATTCCAAGTAATCCCTTAATGATAAAGTACAGGAAAAGTTATTAACAAATCTCAAAATAACCAATTTAACAAAGAAAGTAGTCGCCAACACAAACATGCTCCCGAAAGCTTCCAGATGCAATTTGCATCAAGAGAAAAGCATGACCTCCAAGTGAGCGATGGTTTTCCAATGGATTTTGGATTTGACTAGTTCCTACTTCTAGAAAGAGAAAGTCCTATGGTGCTTTCAAGGTTCTCTTTCCTGTGGTAGCATAACGGTAAAAAGAAGGAGATTGATCCTCTGTGTCACTCAGTCAGGAGAGCACGTTTAGAAGGGAAAATTGGAGAGGGTTTTACTGATAATTAAAAACAGATGTATATCTTTTATAGCCCAAAACTGTAATCTTCACTAATGGTGGATTTTGACTTTGTCAATGGATGTAGCCCCTTCAGGTGAAACACGTAATCTCTATGTTCCTTTTTTTTCTTTTGTCTTGCTTTATTTCTCACATTCTATTTGTAGGTGTATTTATCATTTTTGAATCTAGCCCAATTATGTCCACGATCTTGGGTGGGCCCAATTACTTACAATTCCTAGTTCCACAAGCAAGAGGTTTCCAAGAACCCTACAATTGTATTTGAGCATAGTTTGTGTTCAAGAGCTATAGTCTATGTTTTCAATGGGGAAAAATACATGCTTAAATGGATACATGGTTTGAGGCTCAGAAAATGGATGTAAAGTGTTTGCAAAACTTTAACAATCAGTTTTATTCGGCATGAAGGAAAAAATCGAGAAATCTATCACAAAATTTAATAATCGGTTTCATCCGGCATGAAGGAAAAAATCGAGAAATCTATCAAAAGGAAGTTAGCAAATCAAATATAGTGATTTTTTATTAAAGTAGAGATTGTTAGGTATGATGATAGCCAAAATCACCACTTCTAAGCTTTCCCTAAAAAATTGAGGGTATTATGGGTTTTGGGTAAAGACAAACATAGCTTCTTGGGAAGCAAGAATGAAACCCTAATTATCTTTATATAAGGGGATCAGCGAGATGTGATATAGCCATCCCTTTAAGGGTCACCTTATCATGGGTTATGGGCATGGTTGGTTTCCAAAGAGAGAGAGTAGTCCCTCAACAAAGAAAGGAGAGACCGCGTGTAGAGAGAGAAGCATGGCCACTCAGAGAGAGATGGTTTTCGCATGGGTAATGTCAATGTTCAAAAACACGGAGCCAGGCGCCTAGGAAGCAGGGCAGTCACCCAGAAATACCTTGTGCAAGGGGGGATAGGCATCTGTTACACCTTGGCTATAGTCTATTCATTTCATACAGACTCTTTTTTTTGCACTACTGTCTATTTATTTCAAACAACAATATCCCAATAAATTCAAATACATACATGAAGGAATACATACAATAATATTCTTTTACTTTTTCATAAATTCTTTGTTGTATAATATGAAACCATATATTGCACTGATCTGTAGTCAAATTTCTTTTAATTTTTTGTGGGCTTTACCCAAATTTTTTAATTTTCTTATAATTAATTTCCCATCCAACCAAAACATGCAACTAACCCTAATTTGTGAGGGTCCCTTGCACATTTACCACATATCATCGAAACTCGTCCTTTTGGTTATCAATGATCATTTCAAAATCGCTCCTAAAGAATAAAAGAAGCTATATTTCCACTTCTAGGGAAATCCCTTGGTGCTCTCAAGATTCTCTGCCTAGTAGTGGTGTAACTATGGGAAAGAGAGAAACTAATCAAAGGTGGTGTTCAATTGGGAAAGTGGACTTAGGGAGGAAAATCAGCGAGGGATTGCCAATGTTTAAAGATTGAGATATCACTTGTAAGTTGTAACCCAAAACTGTAATCGCGCATTGACAATGGATTTCAACTTGCCATTCTCATGGCTGTAGCCCCTTTAGGGAGAACCATTTAAATCTTCATGTTCTTGTCGTATGCTTTTGTTTTGCTTTATTTCTCGGACTCAATTAGTAGTTGTAGCCACCTATTTCGCATCCAGATGGTTATATACACAATTTTAGGCCAGATCCTAGTATATGGGCTTCCTAGTGTCCCTAGCGAGAGGTTCCAAGAACCCCACAATCAATACAGATAACTAAGGGATCAGTGTTTCAAAAAGCGCTAGGCAGGACCTAGGCAGGTGCTCAGAACCTAAGCGGCCCAGTAAAAATTTTTTTTTTTGGTTTTCTTTCTCTAAAATAGGCTCTAATGGGTTTTAGGTTTCAAATAAACCTAAAACCCACAATTTTGCACCTTTAGTATTAAAAAAATGACCCAAAAAATAGCCTAAACAAGGGGCATTTCCGCCCCCAGGCGGCCTAGGCGGGTTCCAGGACACCCAGGGATATCCGCTTTTTTTGGGTGCCTAGGCCTGGGCATTGCGCTCAGGCCCCCAGAACCGCCTCGGTGACTGCTGAAACACTGGGCGGTCCACTTTTTGAAACACTGCAAGGGATAATTAGCACATTTGTGAGATAACAAAAATTCAAGAATTACTTCCAATATTCCCTATCTTACCAATTGAATTCTATAATTAAAAGTTTTGCTCAAAATATTTCTAGAAATCAAGCTTCATAAGAAAAACATACTCTACTATGACCAGTTCCTTTTCCTCCTTCACATCCAAATAAGATGCATAGTAAAATTCCCCAAAGCATAATTTTAGGACAACAAGAGGATTCTCCTTAAAGGATAAGCGTATATATTATCTCAAACTTCAAGAGACAACCCATATAGAATCTCTTCTAATGATCAAGTAGGATATGGTGATTAAATGTTTTTCTTAAAAGAAAGTTTCAACATTTCTATCTATAGGAAGAATGAATTTGAGACACTCATACTTCGCATGTTAAGATCCTTCTAAGATTTTAAGTCAATAACCATAGTAACTTCATAATTACTTATATTATTAAGAAGACATCCTGATAAAGAACCATCCTTATTTTCTAAGAACAATATCAACTACTAACTTTTATTTGTGAGCCATTGATTGATATTTACTCGCCTTTCAAAAGCTACCATATGATGACATAAATAAGTGTTCATAGTTTGTTTCCAAATTATATGCCTTTAGATTCCAAGGCCTCATTGTGTGCTGCCGCAAAAAAATGCTTTGCTGCTTTCAGGGCAGCTTTTAAGGCGAGGAACCATTTGTAGGTTTTGTAGTTCAGGTGGTCCCCTTGTAAAAGGGTGGTTTTGCACATGAACAGTTATCATATCCAAACTGGGGATAAATGAAACTACCATATCAGGCTTCATCAAATAAATCAAATTTTCCGAGGAACACCAGTGTGACATGAGACACTTCTTTTCCTTGGTTTCAATTTTTCTTGTTGTATGGAATTCATTAGTCCATTGATATCAGATATCCAACATTTCTTTATAGAATTTTACTATCTTGTGTTTTTCCAAGTTACTAAGTTTTCAAGCCACCATGTCAATGTTTTCAACAGTTTCAACGCAAGGCATATGCATTTTTCATTCATGATTAGCAATTATCATTCTTAGTCTGCAATTTGTATTAGGAAATCATGAATTGATTGAAAACATGTCAAAAGCACCAGAATGTAAAATACGGACACTAACATAAAGAACAAAGAATCCAAAGAATACTAGAGGCTGTTGCACAAAAGATGTCCAACGCCAGATACAAAAACCGTTTTCAGAAATGGTCAAGAATTTTCATTCACAACGCAGACCATTTTTCAGCCAAAATCCCATCAAGAACAGTCATCTTTATTACAATTTTCCATTAAAAATATATTGATAAGTGTCAAACACATGCATCAGTTTACAAAGAATGTCCGGAATAAAAAACTAAATTTCAGCTGATCATAATGAAAAATGTTGTCACTCCGTCATTGCAAGGCTACCATATGCTCATAATATATAGAACATCACACAACATATCCATCGCTATCCATCATTTGAAATCTAAAAACCGCATGAAAATATTTAGATACAAATTTAAATGACATGGTTCAAGAATTAACAAATTGTTACAGTTCCTAGTTATGAGATGAAGTTTATCAGAACAAACCTGCACTTCAAAACCACCCTCTCTCTAAGCTCCTTCAATTGCAAGTCAAGCTCTTCAAGCTGAAAAAAGTATCTAAAGTAAATCCCCAAAAGCATATCAACCCAATCTTTTGCTTCTCAAGATATCATACCAACCAAATTTATTTGGCAGCAGAAAAATATGAATGGTTGTTGGGGAAACAATATCAATGTTGCCTGAACCAGACTGGACTTGCGGATCCGAATTGGGAACTGGTGGACCGGTCGGTGCAGATGAAGGTAAAAGACGACACAAAACGACCTCCATTGTTTCCCTCGTTGGGTCATTTTTCGTTCTTTTTAGTTGGTATTTCGGTCCTCTGGAAAAAGAATAGGGATGCTATTGTCCTTTTTACAAATTGGGAAGGTTTGGGGGCTTTAGAGTGAATTATTTGAGAGTGTACTTTGGCAATTTTTGCTCTCCTCTCTGGCTGAAAAACCCTCAATATCTTTGGCACAATTTTGCCAACTTTTGGGGAGGATTCCGGCCATCAATCTGTTCCCAATTTCAAGCCTCAACTTCACTACACTATTTTCTTTATTTTGTTTGTTGTATTTAGAAAAATAGAAAGTATTTGGATTTTAAGGTTTTTGCTAGAAATGATTTTTTTTTCTTCACGATGCAATAGGTGTATTTTCAAATCAATTCAATTCAATTACTTTTGTTCCTATGATAAGTTTGTTGTAGGTTTTTTATTTTTTGGTAGTTTATACGCACTTTTCATTTAAATATCAGGCTTTTTTCTCTTTTTTGTTTTCCATGTGTCCTTTGTGTCTTTTGTATTATTTAACATTTCAATGGAACTATGAAAATGTGAATAGATGAAAAATATTCCATATTTTTGTTCGTAATATTGTTTTGAGACTTTCCTTATTTTTCCATAATTTTTACAGACTTCTTCCATATTCGTCCCTATTTTCAAATGTTCTGTATTTTATTTATTTTATGTCCAATCTGACAAGCGAACCATTCTGGTTAGGCCAATTCAACCAAACCGGTGCCCACACCAGTTCGGCATTGGTACAATCTTAATAACAATGGATAAAATTTCTAGTATTAATCACTAATATACAGTTATTTTATTTTTAAGTCCTTGTGCTACCTTCATGTATGCTACCATCATGAATGCAACTTCTTCACCCATTCTAACACTACTACAATATCAGAGAAAGCAAAATGCTGATGTTTTTTTTCTTGGATCAGAAAAAAAGACCTACCTCATAGCTTATATCTCGGCCCAATTTCACAATAGAAGCCTCTTGAGCAATTTGTAGATCTGAGCTGCCTTCTGCCTCCTCTTCCTTCCTCCTTGTCTCCTAAGATGCTCACGGGTAAGAAATAAAAAAAACAATTCAACTTATACAAGTAATGCTCTATAACAATCCATGAATGCCTCCAACTGTTGCACTTGAAATACTACATGAATATGACTATCCTAAAAATGTTTTGCAAAGGTTACACATAGAAATGACAAATTACTATAAAGAGGGCTTCACCTCTTCAACTACTTTGGGCAACAGCAACTGCCACTTCTCTTCAAATTTATCAAATAATGTTTTGGCCATGAGATGAACATCGCTCTTTTCGTCATTGTATGTCATTGCATTCTTGAAAACCAGTATGACATCATTGTATATCTCACGGACATTCTTATACCCAGAACCATCTTTTGCTTCCATCTGATTCCGTATAGTACCAAAATCCATCGGTTTTTCAATGACCTGATAAATATCACCTTATCATAATTATTGTAGGAACAGATTCTCAAAAAAAAAGCATTAACTATAAACATTATACAAAATCCTTAATATGAGATAATTAAAAAAAAATTATAACAAAATCTAAAAGGCCTATTGCATCATATATCAGCCAGTCCCACAACCAAACATGACATCATAAGAGAGAGTAAGAAAAAAGCGAAGTGCACTGCTTTGAAAATTGGAATCACAAAGAGGGTGAGAAGAACTAATCAAACTTGAAGGGAGAGAGAAAAATGAAGAATACAATAAACCCAGACATTTATAGGCTGCTCTTAATGAATTAGATTTATGGCATATAAGGAGAGAGGCTCCAACAGAAAAGGACTAAGTCATGACTAAGAAAAGAATAGCTCCCGCCTAACATTTTTTACAAGTTGCAAAGCAAGAAAATATAATTGCAGGAGGCACAAGGTGAAATACAACAAACTTGACAAGATGACAAAAGTAATTCTATCAAACTCAGGAAGAAAATACATGCCTTAATACTGATATTATAGCAGGACAAGGAAAAAGGAAAGGATGGAACTGAACCTACAACCAAACTGATTAACAAATGAACCTGCTAAAATACTGTATTCCATCTACTGAATTGCAATCTTCCTTGACATAATGCAATTCACCAAAACACACTCTTCCTATCTAAATTTTTCTCATCAAATTTACATTGGGTAATAGACATCACAGGCCAAGGGCGTGAAGATTTAGAGAAGCAACAATTAACTGATGCTCAATATGCTAAATGCAAATCTTGAATAAACAAATGGAAATAACCAAAACAAATTTTAAAAGAAAGAATCTATAAGATTGGACAAGTAAAACCGAAAAAATATGCTAAGCGTGTCCATTGAAAATCCAAATTAAAAAACTAACAATAGTAAAACACTAAAAGAAATAATCAAATTGGATCATTGCCAAGAGAATCTAGAATGGACAATTGATCTGGGCCAAAGGATCTGAAGCAGATAAATTAGAAATGTTCATGCATCGACTGTGTATATGGCTCTTGACGTATGTCCTGGGACTTTTTCTCCAGGGTGCATATGGTTCATAAAGAGAAAGACATATAACTAATATCCCATCATGTAGAAACTGGAAAACATTTCAAGATCTAACTGTGCTAGCATAAACATAGATTTTTATCAAAACCAAAATAAATTAAATAAAAAAGAAACAGGAAAGTATGGTAACATGTGGCAATACTAAGCTCTGCAGAAAATGGATACAAGAACTTACCTCATAGTAATCATGTAAACCAAGTCTCTCAACATCTACAGGCTGCATGAAAGGCCAAGCCCATTTGTGCTGGGTGATCTGGAAATTCAAATTTCACATGGAAGGGAAATAAATTATCTCATTCTTCAATCATCAATCAAAATACTTATATTAAAAAGTCATCAATGAAAAGTTAATGGCACATCTGGATTCCACCCCAAACCATGGTTTGGGGTATTTCGGTGATTAAGTTGCTTCTGAAAAATGAAAACGAAACATTTAGCTTTGATGAATGTGTAGATGGCCACACACAATGGAAGTTCATTGGCAAAGATGAGGCCGAACTCCAAATGAAATAACAAAAGGTCCTATCCTCTTTTTTTCATCTCTGGACTTACTCATCCGAGGAGGACTCAACACATCCAGCCCCTCAAAGAAACCATGCCCGATCATGAAATAAAGAGAGAGAGAGAGAGAGAGAGAGAGAGAGAGAGAGAGAGAGAGAGATAGAATAGACTACGAACCAAACCTACAAGAAAGAACAGACTACAATCGACCGAACTACCAACCGAAACGACCACGTCGACCTATTAGTATTACGACGGACAATAACTAAAAATT